TTCGGTTGACCGCGATGAACGCCGTTGGTCTAGGTCAGGTTCCCAATACAGGAAACAGGCATTTAACGTTTTGGACAGAGCTATTGTGCAAGCAATTTAATGTCGTACGTGTCCAGTTCGCATGGATCCATGGCGTTCAGCGCGAAACTCTCCTTGCTTTGAAAAATGCTTCCTCTGTCCACGTCCCGACACCTTGATGATTATTGTGGGTCATGGCGCAAATAGCTTAACGCGACTTAGCACAGAGGATACAACCTAAGAAGCCATACATGACTCATGCATTTCTCGTTTCTCCTTTACGTTTTCAGATAATCATGTGTGCTCGATCAATGGTATGTTTGATGAAGTTCTATCATTATTTATTTTGTAATTAATATCGCGTTTTGTTGTTAGTCTAAAATGGAATTTAAGAATGATGTTATTATCCTAATATGTACAAGAAAGTTACACTGAGAGAACAAATTAATTTGTAATTACCATAATTTAACTATAATTTATAATATTTATAATATTCGATGCCAATTATATTTTGGAATAATTATAAATATAACTATTATTACTAACTTGATAACAGCAATAAAAATGAAGGTTCTATACTGAAAAAAAAATATAGTCAAAATCAATTTTAATAAATATTTAGTTGAATACTTGCCAACTAAATATTTATTAAATATATATTTAAAGATATATTTATTTGAAGAAACGTTACTTTGATTTAACAATCTTTTTTTTTTACTAAACAAATATTTATTTACTGTAAGTAAATGTTTGACAGTACTGAACTAAATATTTATTAAAATTGACTATATTTTTTTTCAGTATAATTACAATTGTACCTCATAATTATAGTCATAAATACTAAATACTTCTTTTCAATGTAAAGATTTTTACATAAATGTAGAAAGTATTCGTTATTATTCTACATAATCACGATAATCATTCGACGAAATGCCCTCGTTTATTCGATTTCTTCCTACACTTCCGCATTCCCCAATCACGATGGCCGGCATGAAGAGAGGACACACAGTTTCATACATTCCAGGCGAATTCCGCGGTACTAACGACCGAGATAACGACCACCCAATTCGATCTCTCGCAAGAAGAACCAGCTGGACCAAGCTGATTGGAGTCAATTAACGTATTAACGCACCGTAGGCGGATATGTGGAGCGGGACGCGAGAGAACGAAAGTAGGGAATGGCCGAGTTTTGAGTTGAAAGCGGGAGTGGTAGGTTTTGTCCCGGCGGTGGGTGGCTCATGACCGGGATGGGTGGTACGCGGGGGTTGCTAGGTGTCAGGAAGGGGGATAGCGTTCCTCGTCGCATACGCGGAGCGTGGTAGTGCACCTGACCTATATAGCGCGGCCGCGTAAGTATTGATCGACCTAATTCCTGACACCGCAAGTCGGGGCTGCCTCCTCGTCGGTGCGCGGAGAACTGCCGTCCGAAAATTACGTAAGCTAACCTACTGACTCACTGCGCCCGTTGGCGTGGCACGGCCGGAGATGGGAGTTGTATATTCAGTCGGTGAAGTTATATTTTGAATTATCCCCGTATCTATTCGCGTCGTTCGCTGCTATCGTCCTTCTCTCCGTTTTCGTGTTTCTCCGCGCACTTCCGCGCACCGATCATGGATCCCCATCTCCTATTCCTATACTTCGCATTTTGCTCTTTATCGATGCACGAGAGCTAATAGTAACGTGTGCAAACTGACTAAAAATGTATCTCATGAGAGAAATGTATACGAGTTAGATCAGCGAAGCATCCATGCGAACGTCGCGATTATCATGGGATCAGCTATTTTTCTTCGTTCGTCGTCAAGCCTGATTGTTCTCGTTACGGACTATACTGGCTCGAAGTAAAGTAATCGCAAGCGAGAGCTTGCCGAAAAAGTATAAAAATCGTCCGGCACGTTGATTATCGTTTCGAGGAGAGTGCACGGAATTACGTCATGGGGGAAAAAGTGCTGCTACGTTGCTCAATTTGCCGGCATCAATTATCGCAAACCCGCACGCGCAAGTACTCACGTTGCACCATGTGGCGTGCACGGTTGCGTGTGAAAGGTAGAAAGAATAAATGGTGCCTCGACAACGTAACGAAGAAATACCTTGGCGCAAGTTACTTACGTGAACCGAGTTTTCTATAGGTAGACCATCATTTAGAATCGAGCAAATTCCGCAAAGAACCAGCTTGCTTCATTATATAAAACGTTGTGATATAACATTTATACAATATTTAAAATATATTCCATTTCATATATATATATATATTTGTGTACATTATTTACTTTTGCGAAAAATATTCAAATAAATCGAAACTTGAAGTCCCACTGCACTTCTCTGCAAATATTCAGACATTATTTGATTATCAACGCGAATGAGACAGCAAGATCGCTTCATTAACATTACATATATCTGTCTAACTTTTATAATCACTGGATTAATTCTAACGGCGTACTGAAACCTTGGACACAATGCAAGGTCTTGTTAAACGGTAGCCCGGGTTCGCGCACGCTTTCGTCACCGATATCATCGCGCTTCGAAAGGCATTCGATTTCTCTTCGACGACCTTTCCTTTCACGTGGGGCAGGTCGTGCCAGGACCAGGTGTGTGCACGCTCTACCAAAAAGCACCGACATTTTTCTACCTGCTGACAACTACATCTCGGTGCGGCCACCGGACGAATCTCCTTCTTTGCAAGAGGATCCTCGGGGTCAAAGACCGACTTTGCTCATACTAAACGAAAAGTCGAGGGAGTTAACCTTCGAGTTCGTCGCCCTGCCAGACTAAGATCAGTCTATCTTTTTTTCAGAGAGATGACGACAAAGAGGAAGAGAGATAGCGAGAAAATTTCGTCTCAAATGATGGGGATCGCAGGTCGCAGACTCCAGACAGCCACATATAAGAGTAGGCGGAACGAGAAACTTCATTGTTTTTCAATCGCGTAATCTTATAAGCGGATCTCACGATGGCAATTTCATCCGAGATAGAGGTTTGAATGAATTTTATTTAAATGTAAAAACAATTCAGGCAACGTAAAATGCGTAATATTATCATATTAGCGTAGAATATCGTTTCGCATCTGTTCATTCATGCATATGAAATGACGATGTATCGATGTATTAAATTATCAATTATGAATAAAATTTGTTTTATACGCATATATTTTATATTTTTAGAAGTAATTATTCTAATCTTACAATTCTTTATGCTATATTGATTCAAGTATTTCGAAATAATAAGATCAGATTACCATTGTAGAGAATTATGACGTGTATGTACATATATTATATATATATATATATAAAGTGTGTATACAAAGTGAGTCATAAGTATGTTTTAAAATTTCTTGAACGTGTTCCTGAGAAAAAAGAAAGAATAAACGTTCCTGAACATTAAGCAATCGTTGTCAAAATAAATAAAAACATAAAATCGTAAACAAAAATTAAACTGTAGTCTTTATTTCAAATCTATTTACATTCCATTATGATAAAGTATCAATATTTAGAAGTATTATTTTTTTCTTTTTACCTAGGAACACGCTTACAAAATTTTAAAACATACTCATGACTATCCTTATATATATTCATAGTACTTAACTGATATAGCACAAAGAATCGTACGATTGGAGCAGGACTTTCAAACAGGAAATTGCAATCACGAAGGCATTGTTGCACATTTTTTTTTTTTACTAAAATATCCGTCGGCTATTCCTCGTGGTGCGGCGTCTCTACAGCGAATATTCACTGACATTCAACGGGGGTGAGGCATAAAGCGTTCTGGGGAGTTGCGTGCAGTATAAAGGTGAGAGACAGGTGCTCGGCGAGGGTGCATTCACGGTCTAACGATCTGCAAACGGACGTTCCTTCGTTCCTTGCTTTACGCATCACGCGGATGCTTAGCTTTTTATCTTTAGCATCGAATACGTCCGATCTTCAGGACACATGGCTATATATACTATATATATAATTTATTTGAGGAAAATATGTACAGACCTGTCGACCTGTACCTGTCATTATTACATGACGAGAGAAAGAAGCCTGATATAGAGAAAGGATATTCTAATAACCTCGCACACATACTGAAGATCTTGTCAACGCGTCGCCTGGCAATGACCTTCGGTATATGTCGGATTGTTAGAATACCTTTGACATATAGGCGTCTAATAGCAAAAGGCGTACAAGTTGCTAGGCAAATAATTTGTCTATATTACAGTTTTGTTGAAGAGAAGGATAGCGCACATATGTAATATCTTTGATTAAATTTCTATTTCCTTTTTATCTTATATTATTATCAATTATTTTTGTCACTTTAAAAAATTAATCAATAGACTAAACTGTAACGCGAAATTGAATATATGAATTGAACGAAAATCATACTCACGTCGTTTTGAATCTTCAATACAAAAAAGAAGAGAGAAATCTTAAAGAACGTATTACGAAATACAGATGTTGCTGTAGGATGAATTTACGAAGATCATGTTTGTGGGAGTTGGGTGGGATTGGGATAAGGGCACCAAGTCGATCCAGGAAATTTATGTCCTACATTATTACACAAGAAAATGAAAAAATATTATTTAAATAGAACAACGGACATGTTTGATTAATAATCGAACGTATAAATAATTTTTCCGATTCCTTTTCGAGAAATTCACGATATAACTTCGTGGCAATATCTCTCGAGTTACATATGCTACATTGTAATATTACAAATATTGTATAATGCAAAAATTAAGAATTTAAAACGTAATGCGAAACGCTTGAATAACTTTCGCACGAGAAAGGTGCGTGAAATTTGCATAATCAAGTCAAGAGAGTAAGAGAGTCGTGTCGCTCCGCAAAACTATATTTTGCTTTCAAACGACGTTTAAAAGGACGATTCCGCTTGTCTGGGCACAAGTTTATTGTCAATCGACGGTAGTTATTTTCGACCTTATCTGCTGCCCCGAACATAAAAGCATTCCAGATAAGCGACGGTAATAGAGAAAGAAGAGGAAAACTTACGCCATCACGTGTGGCACGTCGATAGAGTGGGAGGACGCCCGTTTGCGATCGCCAGCCATATCGGCGAGTCTGGCGAAATCCGTGTCTTGATCGGCAAGTCGTGCACTCTTACGTGATTCGAGCAACCTGATTTCGTCTATACGTTTGGTTAGGCTCATAGTACCCTGTAACAAAAAAGAAAGGATATATATTATAATCTTGGTTCGGATTCTTCCAACTTTCAATTACATTTTTATACGTTCTCACATAATGCTTGCATTCGAAAAGCGAGTTTATAGATTGTGCACGTTTTTTAAAAAAAATTGATGCGATTACGACGTAATAAGAAGGTTGAAAGTACACATAAAAGTAGGTCTAGGTAATGAAACATACGTATTCTCTTGTATTTCTCATTCAGTCCACGTTAGTTTGTTAAATGAAATTTAACAGTAGTAAGGAGCAAATTACTTTCTATAGAAGAGATTTCGCTTAGGTTTCAATGGAACAAAGCACACGATACAAGATCATAAGATTTCTAAATAATTCTCGCTCTAACGTGAGAAACCCTAAGAACGCTGCACAAAATTTATACACGCTCGTTTGATGCTCCGCACCGATCAAACACCGATGAATGTACATGGCATTGCTTTATCCCCGTGTGATATCTTCCATCAGAAAGTTTTTTTTTATAAATACGATCCGCCTACGAACCTCGCAGTCGTACGTATCGATAGTTTGAAATTGGATTCCCAAAGGCATTCCATACGTATACACGGAGGTATTCGCGCAACATCGCGGAGAAAGTGCGAAATTTTGAACGTATCCCGGAACTTTCCCTTCCGACCGGTAAAAGCTAATTGCAAATAATCGCTTCCTCGAGATCGCCCGAGACGGAAACGCGACACGTCTTTAGACACCGTCGAAACCGTAATAGTCTGATAACGCCGACTCGCGTCGATTACGCGTACATCGCATCGGACATTATTCCGTCGACGTAACTTCGTTGCAAAGTGCGTGTATAGGTATATTCTTAAATTGTCGCTCATTTCTTTCGGCATGGTAATTACGGAACAGATACCGCCGAGAAAGTCACGTATAAGGACGACTCGTACGCACGCGCGGATTCATACAGGAAATAAAAAAGAGAAAAAAAAAAGCACGATAGCCTTCGGTAATTTTTGCTGAACACGGTATGCGTGGTATGCGGCTGTTATTGCGAAGTTCCGGCTTCGAGTGTTTACGAGGAAGAAGACCCGTTGCTTGCACCGCTGCCGCTCGCTCGCGATGGATCTTACGTGTGCAGGATATACGGGGTGTATATCGCAAACTGGAGCACACGAAATGAAAACACTCGAGCAGGACTTTCTCATCGGTCTCGTTACTCAACGGCGAATTTTCGCGTCTGCAAAATCAGAGCGCGACTGCCCTCCTCTGCTGGGAATAATGCTCTTACAAAATACGGATGCACCAATTAACGTACGTTTATTTAACAGGTAGTTACTGATGTTAAGCAGCTGTCTCACGCCTATTTTCTCGTTCTCGTTTATGAATGCATTTCTTCGGTGCTTTCGTACACCTGTGCGCACCTTTACGACTCGATGGTGTCGCGTTTGTAACGCAAATAACTGACAGTTTATGTTCACCTTCGCACATACTTGATGACGATGTACACTCGATGGAAATATTTTTGCATAAAAAAACGATCCGTTTGCGAAAGAATATTGACGATGGTGAACAGTGCCTTTTTGTATCGTTGAATTAAACACGATTCAGTCAAAGTCATAATCGGGCAAGGAAATGTGTTTCCAATGCCAAAGAGATATAAGAGATATAAGCTTCGATCGATATTAGGCAATCAACTATTCATTAATACATACCTTTTCCATTACGTTAAAAAATAAGACTTGCTCATCGACGTATGTCACATTATATTTTATACATGCAAAATATTTATGAGTATAAAAACAAAAAAAAAATAATTAAATAATGAGGAAGTCTCGGTCTGAGTTGGATTATAATACTTAAATAATATTTCGATGTGAATTTATATACATATTCAGAGCGCAGTTTACAGAATATGAATATGTATACATAAATTCACACTAAAATATTATTTAAGCGTTGAACTGATAAGGCTTCCTCGTTATTTAATTTAGTGTATATTCACATGCGATTTAATGACATTTGTTGTTTACTGCATGTTCCTTTAAAAAAATTATCTTAAATATTTCGAAATGTCAATAACGATTACGTTATATCTTAATATGACATGTTTCAAATAATATCTTAGTATTATTAAAAGCGACAAGAGAGTTTAAAGCAAATTAATAATTAAATCAATTTAAGTAAACATGAGCAGATTGATAATTAAATAAATTAAATAAGTTAATTAAATAAATTAATTAGTGAGTCTACTTTGCTCTAAAATTTTCAATTGTTATAACTGCAATTATAATTCTTCCGTCCGTGAATCATAAAAATTAAGAATCCTGCCGCGGTCACCTAAGTCATTTTTTATAAATTTGCGTACACGGAAAAAAAAGTTCGAGATAATTCTACGTCTCGCAGAATCGAATTGCAACATTTCGCACGCGATGCGTATATAAAACACGAAACGAAGACATCGATGACGAGACGGGCTGTTAATTCACGCCCGCAACATTGTCATTATATTCACATTATCATATGATATATCCATCTATTCGCGTGCGTACAGAACTCGCGGTTTTATCGCCAATCGTTCGCGGACCGAATGATCGTCGGTACTGTGGCTCTTGCTTCGATACAATTTTCGCGCGAATCGAATGCATCTGCATTCGAAAAGTATTGACGGTTACGTTTGGAGCTGTTAACGTCACCGAGAGTCACGTTGAAATATTTTCGCGAATATCAAACTTGATACAAAATGTATTCGAAAGTAAACACGCGATTCGTTGGAATTTGTGCATGTTTCACATATAGAAGTCTGCTTTTTATCGTATTGACGTCCGTATTATTAAATTGTTCTTCAGAAGCTGCAATTTTTTTTAAGTGGCTTACTTTGTTTATTTCGAACAAATTGACAGCATATTATTTAACAGATCGCAAACCTGGCATCGCCGTTACCGTCATACTTCAAAAATATTATTGACGATTAAGATATTTTAATACTATAATAATAATTATTATATATATATTTTAGAACAATAATACATGATAATAATAAAATTAAATATAGCATCGTTAATAATTTTTTTAAATATGTATTATGTTGCGTGAATAAAAAAGAAAAATTTGCAAAAAATGACATAGTAATCGCATTCGAATCTCCCCAATGATCGAGGAAGGTTCGAATGCGATATACTTATGCCATTACGTTTTTTTTTTCACGAAGAATCCTGACTGAGGATTCTGACAAAAACGATCCATTATTCTCGATGGCTGCTGGCCATCTCGGTTTCTTAACTTCGAGATAGTATGATAGTATCGAAGTAGGAATTTATCAAACGCACACACATTTATGAGTTATGTATGCTGATTTATCCGCGCTTCCTTAGAAATTCCTTCAATTCCGCCGGCACTTCAACAAGGCAAGCGTTGACGATTTTCAGATATTTACGTGAGAAAAATCTCCATGTAGAAAGATACACGCGGCAGAAAGTGCGTTACTTCATACAAGAGTGGATTCACATAGAATGCAGAAAATAATAGTCATATTATATCGAACTATAAGCTATATATACATTTACTTGGGTACCGTTATATTCTATAATCTTAATATCTGATATTCCGATTTACAAAAAATTTTAATGATATGTTCATTTTTATGAAAGTTATAAGCAATCGAATTAGTTGAATATGCTATACCAAGTGTGTTGTTTCTCCAATATGGAGCACCTGCACAGGATAGAAATAATATACGTATATTAAACGTCATAAACGTATATTATATTGAACCACACATTTTTAACTATTATATATATTGTAATATATTGTAATATATGTATATATCTGGTATAACTGCCTTTCGATTTATCACTTTCCGCGTGACTTGGTTTTTAAAAATCTTTTCAGAGAGAGAGAGAGAGAGAAGGAAACAAAAATTACGCACACATCGCCCGTTGATCTTTGAAAATCTGCTATCCCGTGCAATTTAATCCCGTCGGGTAAACTTGCCTGAAGAAATCGCGAGGCAAGTGCATTTGTGTAAACAAAAAATTATAAGACACTTTTATGCGAACCTTATCGTCTTATGTCAACATCATTTCATTAATCTTACTTTGGTGGCTATATTGAAATATATTATTAATTTGAAATGTTACTTTCTATTACACGTTTTATTGTACATTAAAAGTGATCGCTTCTTTATCACCAGTATAAATATCAGTTTTGATATACCCTCTAATTTTGATATCCAATTCGCGCGTTCGAGGTAATGTATTTATGATGCGTGATTTATGTTTACGAATGTTAATAGTACGTTCGCCACTCTCATGGTAACTCCATTACTTAATTGCTTCTTCGAATCGACGAGTAATATATGCAGCATGGGATTCCCTGACGGCTTTAATTCCAGCGTCAAAATATCCATCATGCAGTCTGTGACACATACTAATTTGGCGTAATCAAGATTGCCTTTTCGCGATTAATTAACCGTCATAAGTCTCGCTTCCCGTTCACTTTCCCGCGGTACAGAAATGTAGATGGGCTTAAGTAGCGTTGCGACCGCGTCGTGCGCATACAAGTTATCAAATTTAATTAAGAATAATGTTAATAAGTGAATCGATAGTGAAATTCCGCGTCTTCAGGGACGCGAAATTGGTCGCGGCTTTAAGATATCTTTAGGAGATCAACAGTCGTTGAAGCGCAGTAATATTTTCTACAACTTTCAAAGTGAATTGTCACTGCGAAGAGTGAAATCTCGCTCTTAAAGATTAAAAATGGAGCCACTTTTTTTCAAGATCGGCTCAATTTTCACTCTTTAAAGTGAGATTCCACTCCTAATAATTTAGAGAGCGCGTTTAATGATTTTACTGAAATGCGCTGGATTAAATATTGATAGTGAAATCTTGTAGTTTAATTTATATAACGTAAATATAAATTTTTCAGTATCATATGTTGGAACAGTAGTGCATATCGAAATGTAATCTCTCTTAATTTATCATTTTTACCGTCAAAAAGCGGGAATCAAGATTCAGAATCGTGC